GACACAGTCTATGGCTCATCTTTTCAGTGACTGTCATTGTAATGTTCATGTCACTTCATCCTGTCTTGGTTTGTCCTTAGAGCTATAGAGTAGTAGCATGGATGAGTGTGAGAACATAAATTAAAAAAAAATCACTTGGATTTTAGTTTTGTGCAGGGTGATAAATATAGATCTATTTTCATTTTTCTGCATGTGGACATCCAGTTGGACCAGCACCATTTGTTGAAGATGCTGTCTTTTTTTCATTGAATGGTTTTGGCTTCTTTGTCAAAAATCGAGTATTTATAGGTGTGTGGGTTTATTTCTGGGTCTTCTATGCGGTTCCATTGATCTTCCTTTCTGTTTTTATGCCAATACCATGCAGTTTTTATTACTATTGCTCTGTAGTACAACTTGAGATCGGGGATAGAGATACCTCCAGATGATCTGTTGTTGTACAGGATTGTTTTGGAGATTCTGGGTTTTTTGTTTCTCCATATGAAGCTGAGAATCTTTTTTTCAAGGTCTGTAAAAAATTGAGTTGGTATTTTGATGGGAATTGCATTGAATCTGTAGACTGCTTTTGGCAGGATGGCCATTTTCACAATGTTAATCCTACCAATCCATGAGCACGGGAGATCTTTCCATCTTCTGAGATCTTCAATTTCTTTCTTCAGAGACTTGAAGTTTTTCTCAAACAGGTCTTTCACTTGCTTGGTTAGTGTCACCCCAAGGTACTTTATGTTATTAGTGGCTATTGTGAAGGGTGTTGTTTCCCTAAATTCTTTCTCGGCCCTTTTGTCTTTGGTATACAGGAGGGCTTCTGATTTTTTTGAGTTGATTTTGTATCCTGCCACTTTGCTGAAGGTGTTTATCAGCTGGAGGAGTTCTCTGGTTGAATTTTTGGGGTCGTTCATATATACTATCATATAATCTGCGAATAGTGACACTTTGACCTCTTCCTTTCCGATTTGTATCCCCTTGGTCTCCCTTAGTTGTCTTATTGCTCTGGCTAGGACTTCAAGTACTATGTTGAAGAGATAGGGAGAGAGTGGTCAGCCTTGTCTTGTCCCTGATTTCAGTGGGATTGATTTAAGTTTCTCTCCATTGAGTTTGATGTTGGCTATAGGCTTGCTGTATATTGCCTTTACTATGTTTAGATATGTGCCTTGTATTCCTGATCTCTCCAAGACTTTCAAAACTAAAGTCCAAGTGGATCAAAGACCTCAACATAAAACCAGATACTCTAAATCTGTTAGAAGAAAAAGTGGGGAACAGCCTAGAACTCATTGGCACAGGAGACAACTTCCTGAACAGAACACCAACAGCACAGGCTCTAAGAGCAACAATCAATAAATGGGACCTCATGAAACTGAAAAGCTTCTATAAAGCAAAGGACACTGTCATCAAAACAAAATGCCTGCCTACAGATTGGGAAAGAATCTTCACTAACCCTTTATCCAGTATATACAAAGAACTAAAGAAGCTAAAAAGCAGCAAACCAAGTAATCCAATTAAAAAATGGGGAACAGAGCTAACCAGAGAATTCTCGACAGAGGAATATAGAATGGCAGAGAAACACTTAAAGAAATGCTCATCCTCATTAGCCATCAGGGAAATGCACCTTACACCCATCAGAATGGCCAAGATGAAAAACTCAAGGGACAACACATGCTGGAGAGGTTGTGGAGAAAGGGGAACCCTCCTCCACTGCTGGTGGGAATGTAAACTGATACAACCACTCTGGAAATCTATCTGGCGCTTTCTAAGACAATTAGGAATAGTGCTTCCTCAAGACCCAGCTATACCACTGCTAGGTATATACCCAAAGTTTGCTCAAGTACACAAAAGGGATATTTGCTCAATCATGTTTATAGCAGCTTTATTTGTAATAGCCAGAACCTGGAAACAACCCAGATGTCCATCAACGGAGGAATGGGTACAGAAATTGTGGTATTTTTACACAATGGAATACTACTCAGCAATCAAAAAGGAGGAAATCATGAAATTTGCAGGCAAATGGTGGGATCTAGAAAAGATCATCCTGAGTGAAATATCCCAGAAGGAGAAAGACAAACATGGTATATACTCACTTATATAGACCTATAAGATATGATAAACATAATGAAATCTATACACCTAAAAAAGATGATCCAGAGAGCGGACATGGGGTAAGATTATCAATCCTCATCTAGAAAGACAGATGGGATGTGCATTGAACATATGACAGGAGTCTACTGAGCGCATTTGAAAGACTCTAACTAGCAGTGTTTTCAAAGCAAAGACTCATGACCAAACCTTTGGCAGAGTACAGGGAATCATAAGAAAGAAGGGGAGTTAGTCTGATGAGGAAAGGATAGGAGCTCTACAAGAACCAAAGATATCTGGGCACAGGGTCTTTTCTGAGACTGACATGCAACCAAGGACCATGTATGAATGTAACCTAGAACCTCTGCTCAGATGTAGCCCGTGGTAGCTCAGTAACCAATTGGTTTCCCATAGTGAGGGGAACAAGGACTATTTCTAACAGGAACTCAATGACTGGCTCTTTGGCCTCCCCACCCCCCAAGGGAGGAGCAGTCCTGTTAGGCCACAGAGAAAAGCTTTGCAGCCAGTCCTGAAGATACTTGATAAAACAGGATCAGATGAATGGGGAGGAGGTCCCCCCTATCAGTGGACTTGGCAAGGGGCAGGGTGGAGATGAGGGAGGGAGGGAGGGACTGGGAGGGAATGAGGGATCGGGACACGGCTGGGATACAGAGTTAATAAAATGTAACTGATAAGAAAAAAAATAAAATTAAAAAAAAAACCCTCCAAGTGTATCATGCATATGATTATATCATGTAAATAATGTCTTCATTGAATACATTTGTCAACATGTTAAATTTAGTACACTTTTGTGGGCTTATGTAACAGAAGCTTCTGTGAGCATGTGTAAAGTCCGACAGCACCGGGAATGCTTTTAAGTCACCTAATTTTTTTCACAATCATTTTCTTAATTTGGAAATTTTCCTCTCCATTCAATCATTTTTTTTGCAATAAATATGTACTTTTATCTCAAATCTTATAATATAAATTGTCTCTGTAGCCAATTCAGTCCTAGCAAATATGTTGTCGCAGACTTTTTAATCAAGACAAAAGACTCCAAGGGTACTTTTCCTAGTAAGCATTTGTAGGCTTCCAGACCAAAGCTACAGAACAGCCTGTGTCACAAGGTTGAGACTTCCATGAATTTTTGGCTTCTTTGTCTCCTATCTAAGGCAAATGGGTGTTTTAAACTACTAGGTAGTAATGGCTCGAATGAGAAGGGAGGCAGAAAGAAGGAGGCTACAGGAGAGATAAGACCAATCTGAACTTTCCCATGAGACCAGGCTGCATGTACACAAGCGTGGGCATTGACTACCCCAAGTGCTTGCTCCCTGTCTTTCTTTCTCTTGGTCCTCTAAGGCCCCATCCATCCAATGTTGTGGATGTTTTCCATTTTACTGAAATTCTTCAAAGAGTGTGTCTAATGCTGACACGTTACTTTGTTACTTTAGACCCACAGATAAGGTACCCTCTCTTTCCTCTGCATACCTTTAGCATCCATCAAGTTTCCACCCCAGGAGTCTGTTCAAAGGTTGACAGTCTGAGACTTTCCACTCTTCTTTTGAGAATCAAGTGAAGTCATCTGCATCAAGCCCCTGGCTCAGAGAATATAAGAAGCTCAGTTCTGCCCTTTCGTAAACTTCTTTCTGGTGGGGTCCTTATTCTTAGGCTATCTGTCTTCTCCATAGTCTTCTTACAATTGTGTCTATGCACACATTAGGCAAGAGGCAATGCCCCTCGAGATTTGGGCACTCTTCTTGGTCCCTTTGTAGTCCAGTATGTACAGAAGCCATCATGCACAGGGTATGGCACCAAAGGGCTGAGTCTGCCCCTCGGAGAGATGCTCAGAGCATCTAAGTGTTCTCTCATTAAACTGTCAATGACATCTCTACTTAATAGCCCAACCTGAAACTTTAAAGGGAAGAAATGGATCACAAAGCTATCACAGATATTTCAGACTACAACTGTATGAATGGCTACGTACTGTGAGATACTATATTATTAAATTCATCCCTATGAACATATTCTAAAGGGAGAATTTTTCTTCATTAGACTTTGAGAAGGTGTGTTTTGTCTCAGCATTTTGAAATGTTCCCAAGCATCCAAAATAGAAGTGAGAAAATAAATGCATAATAGTTGTCAATAATAATTACTATTTTTGTAGTTTTCCAATTCATAAGGTATTATTATTTTTTTCTGTTGGTGCATGGAGCAGATGCTATTTTTCATTTATCATTAGTGCAGCTCATATGTAGTGTTTTTATTATTTATTTCTTACAGACCTCTAAAGTATTGAGTTAAAGTGTTTTCCTGGAACAGATCTTGCTTTGTCCCAGCCTCAGCCCTGAATCGCATTGAGCTGCAACCCTCATGCAAGATTCTATTTTGCCATCATATCTGGAAGAAGATGATTGTCTCTTATAGTCATAATGGTCAATAAACTGTTTTCAGAAAGACCTTAGGATACTGATAACAAGCATCTACTTGTTACATGTGTCTGACTTTCCAGTCTCTGATGCTCATGAATTAGAAAATAAATATAACTAGTTACATCCTTTTTTTTTTTTTTTTTTTTACATATAACCTACCTTGCCTTCTTTATAAACTCAGGTATGGGAAACTTCTGTACAGTTAATAAAGAACTAAATGGTAAGTGAGCCTGCCTTCCTGTATTGAACTGTTCCCAGATATTTTCATTTTGTAGGAAGCAATGTCCAGCCAGCCTTTGAATGCTGTATAGTTCCTGGAACTTCACTTGGATGGAGAATCCAGTTACATGGGAAGCTCCGGGAGTGCTGTGAGGAAGCAAGGCTCAGCTGGCGCCCCATCTGAACAGCAGGTGGCTGCCCATGCTGAGAAGGATGTGGGTTGGAACACAGGCCTGGGGGATGGTTCTTGTGTAGGCTATTCTGGAAGTTCAAATGCTGTGCTTTAGCTGTAGGAACAGTAGTAGATAGCTTCGTCTTCTTCCTCCAAGGAATATATTGTCAGTGTGGACGTGGAAGCACTAGTATTTTTACTTGCCTCCATTTTCTTGAACTTCTCATTTATGAGGATACGGGTAGGTGTTGCTATAACATATAATAGAAACTCTAAGCCTTGATTTGGTTTCTGCCGGTACCAGTGTATGGCTACACTTTTAAAACTGTTGATGGAAACCTTACAGGATATTTGGGCACTCTCATCTTTTGCTCTGGAAACTGATACTTCAGGTTGCTCCAACTTCCCAAGTCCAACTGCAAGCAAAGGAGAAAAATCCCCATGAATAACTGGCAAGGGAAGAAACACTTATCTGGACTGACTTCATCCTCTGCAGCACAGGAACATGACAGTGGCAACTCACAAGTCAAGAGGCACGAGAGAACGACTACTTTCAGGAACAGAGTCCCATCTGCAGGACCAGCTTTCCAGGGAAGACATAGAGGAAGGAGAATGTGGGAGCCAGGGTTCTTCATGGTCTGCTGTGGTTAGGAAAGTTTCGGGGTTTGCTGGCCTTCACAAGCTGGTCAGAATAGCATGTAAGTTGTAGCTGTTCTTCTAGGGGTGGGGCAGCGTGAGTGCAGCCTCCTCATCCTTTCCCCCTTCCATTGCTCACTGTAGAGAAACCGCTCTGGAGCCATGAAGATGTACTTGCTATGCTCTCTTTCCATGTCTACCTTTCCATGATTATACATTCACGTCTGCATTCAAACAAACAAACAAACAAACAAAACAAATGACATTAATTGTCCAACACCAACAAACTGGCCTTTGGATTGTTTTGCTGACTTTACCTAATATGCAAAATGCATGAGCCCTGGATTCTTTGCATGTTATTCTTAATCAATTGGGAATCACTGAGCAAATTGTGAGCCAGGGAAATCATATTATTTATACACCTACTGCCTTTAAGAATGAATCACATGACAGTTACTGAGGGATGTGAGACAGATCAGCTGTGGAAATCCGTTTTTGTTCTCTTGGGGTAATGGAACTTTCCGTGAGCAGAGCAGTACTTTTAAATCAGGAATGTTAAGCTCAATATGTAATAAGAGCATTAAGATTAATTTAGTCATATTATTTAATGAAAAAAATTTTATAGCCATTCAGAGCGGCTGTTATGAACATATTATTTGACAAATATTATCATTAAAATAGTTTGAACTTTTTTGCTTGGATTTATTAGTAGAAATGATGCTGCTTGGTATTATTTACATCTGTATATGCACGTACGTAACCTTCTATGGGAGGTGCATAACTGACTTCAAGTTTCCTGCTGATATTCCCATTGCGTGGACTAGTTACAGCCTTTATATCTATAGGAACAACATTTCTAAGAACCAATGGCAATTAGTTGACCACTGATAGATCACAACCTCGTAGAAAATTAGCTAAGGTAATTAAGCTTTCTGTGCCTTGATTTCTACATGTGGACCCTGCCTCTCTATAGGTTTTTTCAAAAGGTTACGAGATTTATAATGCTGTGTTACACAAAGGCACTGCCTTCAGAGCACATCAAGGGCTTCAATGCTGTCATTAAATGCTATTAGACAATGCAAGGTAACATTACTGATTATCCTTGCACAACTACAATATTTCATTTAAGAACAAGTAAAATTATGAAATGTATGTAGAATAAATTAAAACACCTACTTCTTTGGAAATAATTATTCTTTGAAAGTTGGGAAAATATATTTCCTTTTCTAAAATGTCATGAATTTTTTTGTATTATTCAGAGATTATTAATTACTACATGAAAATTTCGTTATATTCTATTGCATTTTTAATCTTGCTAATAAATTTGGAATGCACTTATACCAAAGGCTGTATGATATTCTTTGCATGTATATCTAGGAGGGAATAAAAAAAAAACCATGATCATAAATAGGGAAGAGTGAAAATGGATGAATCATGTCTGTGATACGTACCTCTTATGTTTGCCTACCTTTCAAATTCCTGTCTCTTCCCCCAAACATGCCTTGAACAAACCAACAAATCATGGATCCTTGACATAGGAAACAGCAAGAATGAACATAGTGATGTAATTTTGAACATTAATTAAGTTGAAAAGGAGGTGCAGAAAACAAAGAAATGTTATTTCTCGAAGTCTACTATTGTTGAAAATAAAAAAAGACAAGGATTCTGAATTGTCTTGCATGAAAAGATTAACTTGGAATTTAGTGGCATATTACTTATTCTACAAAACCACACAATGATTGACTTCCTGACATTGCTTCCACATATAGTAATAATTTGCAGTAATTAATGTTATACTGGTACTTTTCTTCTATGAAATGGAAACAATTAATTGTTTCTTTTATACTTCCAGAAATGAAACACTTTATAACAAAAGCCTCAAAGAGTCATGTTAGCTTAGTCTCTACCCTGATCTGTCATGGGCCCTTGCTTAGATAAAAGCCTGGAACGTTTAACGTTTCATTTATTTTCTGAGTCTGATTCATCTGACAAGGAAAGAATAGATATTTTAGGTGGTATGGCTTTAAGGAACTGATATATGCAAAGGCTTGAGAACACCAGTAGAGAGCTTCCACACAGGTTTCTCTATTTTCTCGCCAGTTCTCTCTTGCCTTTTACAAGCGTGCAATGCCATGGGCTCATCTAAGGGCTGAAATGGCCCCAATTGTTTTTTGATGGCAGCATCCCTAAAGATTTCCCCACTCCAACTCTGAGAAAAGGGTTCTTCTCCCATCATAACGTGCTGCAGATGTCCTAGCAGACGGAACTGCAACCCTTCAGTTTCTTAGTGTGGCCTTGTGGTCTAGTTCAGACAACAGCCCTTCTTATCTTTGCTTGTTCATTAGGCTTCAATTGTCCGAGCTTTAATGTCTCTGGTGGTGCAGTGGATCAAAAGTCGTTATGCTTCTGTGGGTTGTCTGACTATATTGATCAAGTTAGAGTCTAATCAAATAGAATATATATTGTATAATGTGAGAGCTGATGGAAGCTGAAAATGCGTGTGTTGCCCTGTGCTCCTTCTCAGCACCTCTACCGGGGTCAACATTGTTGGAAACTCATGTGAACTGAAACACTGGATCTTGCTTTTTCACTGAGGAAGTCAGACAAGATTTAGTATACTTAACGTCTAAACCAAGTCAACAGGAAACTATGCTGACCCAGAAAGTTGGGGCCACAGTTCCTGGCATCTGTGGGGCACAGCTGATAGCCATCAGACTCCCTTTCTGGTTTCCCCTGATAAAAGTGCTGCAGGTGGGGACTGGGGCTGAACAGGCTCAGGACTGGACGGGGTTGGTCTTTGTTAGGAAGGAAGTGGTGGCAGACACACTGAGGGTGTGCGCTCATTACTAGGACACTAATCATGGGAGGTTCCCAGGGCCAGGATGTCATCATGTCTTGTTTTAATTTGTATTAAAGACCAAAGAGAGGGGACAGGTTTTGTGTACCTGACGTTTGTTGTTCTTTACCCGTAGCCGATCTTGGACAGTTATTTTTCTCCTCCTCCTCTTCCTCCTCCTCCTCCTCCTTCTTCTTCCTGAAGTACATATCAAAAGCCTCATTTGTAGGATTTCCATACGTGAGTATGTATGAAAAGCTGCGTGTGGATGACCTGCAGAAGAAATACATGCTTCCTTTCTGCAGTGAAAGGTGATCACTGTGTTCATGTGTATTCCTACTTCAAACAGAAGAATAGTGTTATGAGAAATACAAAAATTACCAGGATACCAAACATCATTTAAAAGTATCCCTCGACCAGGCTTAGGAATGAAAGAACAAACTCGCAGGTTGAAAAGCAAATGGACATTTGAAGCTATGGCCTCCCCTTTGTGTGGGTTCTGTGTATACGCAGAGGCATGGGGAGTCAGGGTACCTGCAGCAGAAGGTGTCAAGTCAGAATGAAAAAACAAGAGTTGTATCTTCTAGTGTTTAGGGAGAAAATAGACACACCCAGATTAGCCAGCCCTAAGAGTAGTTATGGTCAGCTTTGCCCAGTTCTGTATGTCCCCATAAACATTTTTTGAGACAAATGTTACAAAACTTGTTACCTGGTCCGATCTTAGAAAGCTTGGAGCCTACCACAGAGGGCCTCTGAAAGACTCTACCCACCAGGGAACCAAAGCAGATGCTGAGAGTGCTTTGGTCAGAGTGCAGGGAATCTTATGAAAGAAGGGGGAGATAGGAAGACCTGGAGGGGACAGGAGCTCCACAAGGAGAGCAACAGAAACAAGAAATCTGGGCCCAGGAGTCTTTTCTGAGACTAATACTCCAACCAAGGACCATGCAAGGAGAGGACCTAGAACCCCTACACAGATGTAGCCCATGGCAGCTCAGTGTCCAAGTGGATTCCCTAGTAAGCAGAACAGGGACTGTCTCTGACTTGAACTCAGTGGCTGGCTCTTTGATCACCTCTCCCTGAGGTGGGGGGAGCAGCCTTGCCAGGCCACAGAGGAAGACAATGCAGTTAGTCCTGATGAGACCTGATAGGCTAGGGTCAGATGGAAGGAGAGGAGGCCCTCCCCTAATGGAGGACTTGGAGAAGGGCATGGGAGGAGATGAGGGAGGGAGAATAGGATTGGGAGGGAATGAAGGCGAGGGCAACAGCTGAGATACAAAGTGAATAAACTGTAATTTATATATATATATATAAAGTTTGAGGATGGATGGGTCCTTCATCAACATTATTTTATCGATTTCAATGATTACTAAGTCTTTGGGACATATGTTTAGTCCAGAATTTCTTGGCCTGGTACTGTTAACATCTTGGTTGTGGTTGTGCCTACCCTTCAGCCTCTGTGTAAGGAAAGCACACAGTGACTCACAGCTCTGTGATCCCCAAATCATTCACATCCCTTTTGCTCCTCAATGCCTCCTGCTAAAAAGCTGCAGCTCACAGCTATTGTGGAGATGTCTGAGGTAGACTTGTGGTATATGCTTATAAGACCTTAGTTTTTGGCTCAAGTGTTATTGACAGCACCTGGAGTGAGAAAAGGCACTATGGAGTGTTCAGTCATGGTGGATGCTTAGGGTGGTGGTATCTCCCAATCAAGGTTCTGAGATTGGCCAAGTCTGTTCTCTTCTAGTGATACTTCCACGCCAGACCTCAGGTAAGACTATAGGGAGAGAAATTGTTTCAATGTGCTCTTTCCTCAAACCAAGGAGGTTGCAAAAGTTAATTAACACAAAATTCCATGTCAAAATAAAGGATACATCAGTAAGCCTGGAAAATTTAGAATATTATTTTTCCAACACATGTCATTTGTGTATTTGAGAATTTGACAGCAAATCTACTTAATTATCTTTCTTACAGTTTCAACAAGGCTATGTGACAAGTGTGAGCACACAATGTGCATGCAGGCTCACACACACACAAATGTGGAAATGCACCCACACATGAACATTACATATACATACCAAGAAGCATGTGTGTTTCAAAGTCTGACACCCACTTGTTCTTAGCGCATGTCAAGTCTTTCTTGCATGGCCATGTGCAAAGCTTGCA